ATTAATAAAAAATAAATACATTTTTATAATTAATTTTCTTTTATTTTTTTTATAATAATTTTATATATAAATAAAATTATAAAATAACGTATCTAATGTATTGAAAATAGCGTATCAAATGTATTGAAAAATAGCGTATCAAATGTACTGAAATATAGCTTATCAAATGTACTGAAAAATAGCTTATCAAATGTACTGAAAAATAGTGTATCAAATGTACTGAAAATAACGTATTTAATGTACTGAAATCACGTAGAATTTTTACAATTAAAATGTATCTAATGTACTGAAATAGCTTATACAATATATGTAATTTACGAATTTTATATATTCGTAATTTTAACAATTTTCTTATTTTGTATACGTAATAATTACATACATATTATATATAATTTCAGTATATTTTATACATTTTTTACGAATATTAAAACATTATTACCGTATACAATTCTGTATATAAATTTCTTATAGGGAATAATTGGTAAACAATTGGATAACTTATCAATTATTAATGGAGAAGATAGTAGTAATCATTTATTTTTGTTACATTTTATTACATAATTATTGTTTAATATTAATTATTATACCGATTTAATTTATTTATTATTAATATTAATTATCAATTCATGCTGAATGATAGTCTAAACTTTAAAAGTTTAATTGATCAAAGAGTTTCCCATAAAGCTTATTGTTCAAAGCTATTGAAACGAAAATTTAATATATCAAGTTCATCAAGTTCAAACATTACAAATTCAATTATGCCAAATAGAGCTAGTCAATTTGTTTCTTTCTTTTCAAAAAACAAGAATTCTGATCAACGTTTTGTAACTCAGAGAGAAAAACAGTAGAAAGAAAATCGTAAAAAAGTCTCATTAACTCTTATTCAACTGCATCTTGAAGAGTTAGAAAAGTCAAAAGGAAAACAAAAGTCAGCTAAAAAAAGATACCAAAAATCATTGGTTGAAAGTAAGTTATTATTATTTACGATTTTATCAATTGCAAAATAATATAATTTATATCTTAATAATTTTATTTAAATACTAATTCCAGATATTGGAAATGCTAATATTTCAAAAGATGTATCATTAATTAAAGGAAATTATGGAAATCAAATGTGTGTTGGTTGGGTTTTAGCTGTATATTTTGAAGCCTATTCAAACCATTGTTTTATGGAACCAATAACAAGTTTGGATGATATTTCATATATTTCATTGCATATCTTTATTCCTATTCATCTTGATCTCTTTAGTGATATAACTCGGGAGGGTTGTAATATTCTAACACATCATTTAGCATCAAACATTTTTTATCATATTTTACCATCTGGTGTTTCTATTGAAGAAAATATTTTAAATTAATAGGAAATGAAAAAAAATATTTCAAATACTTCGGAAGGAAAGATATTATTGAAAGGATTACAAATTAAATAAAATGTGTTTTTGAATATAATAAATAATATACATTATGGTCAGATAATTGAATTGCTTATTTTTAATGTTAGGCGTCAAATTTGCTTAGCCATCATAGTAAATTTTATGCTTAGTAAAAAATTTTAGCTGCACCTTACCTATATAAGACTTTTCCGGGGTCCTGGTGCAACACTGGCAAATGATTTATAAATACAGTATATATCAAAAATGGGCCTTCTTATATACGAAGAAAAAATAACCACTATTACTTTGACTGAATTTAAATGTTATAATACAAAAAAACTTCTCGAATTCTTAAGAAGTGAAGAATAATTGCATCTCATACAAGAAGTTTTTGACATTAAAAAAATGAAAGAATCTGCGGTGGCGATTTTCTTGAGTTTACAATGGAAGAATTTCGTAGCTTTGTGGCCCTGCAAAGAGACTTTCAAAATTTACAAATGAGTTAAAAAATGAGCTTGGTAAGTGATTAAGGCTTGTTTAACTTTAATACCATAAAATTGTTATTTATAATGGTTTCTTACAGAACAATTTGAAGAAAAGTTAGAACAATCTAGAAATCGAATATGACTATACGGATTATAGCATCAGCGTTAAAATGAGTTCTTCCCATTGATTCTAAACGACTTAACGAAGGAACAGAAAATAGGAGTTGTAATGATGTGATGAGGATTGTAGTAATGGGGGATTGATTCTCATTAGTTAGTATAGAAGTACCAGTACCATATATGTAGTCTGTAGTATTTAATATTAAGTTTCCAAGTCTATTAATAAAAATAATAAAAATTTGATTACATATTGTATCATGATAACTGCAGTGTATATATTTTTTAGCGACAATACGATCTATTAATAGAATCCAAGTTGCATTCATTTTTTTGCTCGAAAGTCCTCCCGAATTTGTAAAATAGAATGTATTATCCCTTTGACGTTAGCGCATCCAATATTACGCGTATACACTATTATTCCAATTTTTTTTCCTTAATAGGAGCAATCACTACTATGTCACCGGTCAGATCTTCGTGATGCGATCATCCAAAGACGTATTTCGAAAGACTATCGATTCTAGACCTAGTGTAAATTATATAAAAAGGTGCCCACCCCAGTTAGTGAATTTTTATCCGCCTTGTGCAAATAGAAAAAAAAACGAAAAATTAAGCGAAACATTCAAACACCATAATTTACATCGTTAATATCCTTGATCGGCATTTTGATCTTTGCCGAGGAAATCGTGATTGCCGGCACGTGTCAAATCAAGCTTGACGTCCGTCACATGCCTTATATCAACAAAAACTATTTTTTCAAATATTTGGCGGAGTGGAATGCTACCAAAATGAGATATAATGGTGAGGGTGAATCGAAATGGATCAGTAGTATGTCAATTATTTTTATCAAAAATTATGGCCATGCACTTATCTATTCTCCGGTAATGTAGGTTCGAAATTTATTCAACACGGAAAAGATCTATTGCGGAACTTAAAAAACTTTTATATGCTCTATGTGGGTGGGAGTGAAACGGATGTTATCGTTATAGATAGGTGTATGTATAAGTGGGATAGATTATTAGAATGTGAGAAACTTATAGATAGTAATAATAATGATAGAAATAAATTAACTATAGATATTTTCCTGAAACGTAAGAGAGCGAAGAAATAACTT